TTAATTTGGAAGTCCAGGGGTGGCACATCCTGTTAAAGCACCCAAGTGTCAACTGAACTGGTGTTGGTTCTGATCCACACAGAGGTGTTCAGAAGAAAGACTTCTTGGCCTACTTTGGAAAGATCCCAGCCATTGAAAACCCTCTGGGATATTCTGCAGTGACACACATCTCATGATTCACAATCCACTTGACTGGGAACTGACTTGGTTTTTTTGGGTGCATTACCCTTGGAATCCCAGGTGCTAGAGTTCGTTAACACAAGTCAATGGCAGCTCCTTTTACCTTGACTTACCCCACCTCGCCTAGTGCCCCAAGGACAGCCAAAGACTGTTTCTAATTCATTCGTACAGGGCAGACTTCATGAGCTCAGGTGGCATAGTGCCTAAGGCTTCTGACTGCTAACCAGAAGGCTGGTGCTTCAAACCACCTGCCGCTCAGGTAATCTATTTCCATAAAGACTTACCACCTTGGAAACCCAAGGAGGGGTCACGGTGAGTGGGATCTGACTCGACTGCAGTGAGTTTGGGTTTTTATTTATTTTTTTTGCATTCATGGGCTCCATCTATCTACAAAAAGAAGACGAATTTGAGCCAATTAGTTAAACAATTCAAACAAAATTAAGCGTTTTCCCTCTTGCATCTGGAAAATAGAAAACTCAATACGCCCTGATTCCAAGGGTGTCAGAGAGTGTTTTTGGTGGTGGTGTTGGTCCTTTCTTGAATTTTGTTTTCTTGGAAAGTCCTATGCAGAGAACACATTTGGGGGGATCCAGGTATGTAACTTCATTTCTGTTTTATATTTTTACAAATTTAAATCACCATAATAACATTCAAAGTATAACATGTAATTCAAACACAGGGAAAAAGGTCCCACTGTTGCGGTTGATTTAAGCAATCCTTATTGAAGTGGAGGATTATTTATACTTGGGGGGGGAAAACAATAAAAGGGTGTAGGGGTGAAGCCAAGAGTGGTGAATGGTGCCCTTGGAGTTCAAATCCTAGTGACTTAATCAATTAGTGACATTTCTGATTTCTATTTGAAAATGTGTTTTAAATTCTGATGCATGCAACTCATGTTGAGTTAAAATTCAATGTCAAACGGAGGTAAAGTATTTTGATGCAGGTTCTTCCGTGTTAGCACTGCTTGTATTTCTGCTTCCATGCCTAAATATCCCAATCAGAGTCCATGGGTGACGGTGGAAAAGTTTAAATAATTGAGAACACGTTGCAAGTAGTGCAACTTGGACTGTTTCTTTTTAAAATGTGGGGAAACTCAAATTTCAAGTAATTTAATGTTCTCTTTTTTTTTTTTATTTGAAACTCACATTCACTTTGGTTTTGGTTCTTGGCATTTTGGATTGTTCTTTTTCTTTATTTTGGTCGTATCATTTTTAACCCCCAAACTGCATCTTCACGGGATCGCTAATATAATATATATATATATTTTTTT